AGGTAGGTCATACTCAATGGTCAAAGTTGATGGTTTCTTAAGAAAGGTTTAATGTAACAAGGATTACATATAACTCATTCTTCAATACTGGTGATTTTTTGAAAAATATTTCTTTTCTACTTTATTTTCCAATAAATAATGTGTAAGCAGACGTAAATAATGAAACTGATTGTTTAAAAAAATAGCCCTTTGGTCACACATCTAAATTCAGTTCTGAAGAATGAGTTATATGTGAAGTATGAAAACCCTATAGCCCTTACTGTTCAAAAGTTATGGACAAGGTTAAAGTTTTTTTCATAAGTACGGAAATTTCCAAGGTCAAGGTCAAAAGGTCAAAGTTTTTAGTATCCAATGAAAGGTCATGCCAAAAAAAAAATACATAAGTATGAGAGTACTAATATCTACCGTTTAAAAGCTATGGCAAAAGTAAATATTTGGCATTTTTGTGTAAAATGGGATAAACTCCAAAGTAAAGGTCAAAAGGTCAAATTTGGTGGTACCCAAAGTAAGGTCTTGTCACAAGGTATACCAAATTAAATATGAAAGTCATAGCTCCAATAAATGAAAAGTTATGGTCAAGGTTAAAGTTTTTTTGCGGACAAACAGACCGCCAGATAGACAGACAGACATACAGACAGACACGATAAAACTATATACTCACGAATCTTCGATTACGGGGACATAAAACGAAATGGTCTTCAGTTAACTTTTCATATTATGATACAGCATAAAGAAGACGTTACAAAATTGAAAATGTTTGTTTTGATTTTCATATTAAATTCTCTGAAAAATATACTCAGAACTGAGTAAAATGGTGGAGTAAAACAAGAATTAAGAAATGTAATGAATACTGTGTGCTAAATCAAAAGGTTACGTCTACATGTATAGTTTTTTGCATTAGAATGTGTATTTTACACTAGGCCATAGCTTTATAGAGCATATTTTTAGGTGTTATACCCACCCAACCCCCTTACTTATTTAGGAGGAAGTCGATTATCAACAAAAGCAACAAAAAATACTCTTAGGGGCTACCTTTATTTTTCTATAAGGAGGGACTAAAAATAAGCTTAAAATAATGTACTATTCTACTAATTCTCAACTGTTACTTGGCCACAATACTTTCAAGTATACCCCCACTGTTACAACGCACTTTGAAAAATTACGCACTTTGAAAAAAAATTTCAAAGTGCGTTAAAATTTGGGACCAAGCTAACGCACTTTGAAAAAAATAATTTTTTTTTCAAAGTGCGTTAATATCGACCATATTAACGCACTTTGAAAAAAAATGTTAAGATTGATCAATATTCCTTCAAATAATCGGTATGATAAATAACAGATTCTGGTTTGATAACTTTTTTATAAAGTCACTGTAGGACCTGAGATATTGACGTTTTAAATATTTAAGGTCTTGATAAAATAAAAGGGAAAATTTTAGGGTCTTGAAAAAAAGAGTGACGATTGTGTCAGTTCATTTATTTGTTTACCCCTTTTTTAAAAAATTTTAGTCTTTGATAAGTAGATGTAAAGGTGTATAGGGGGCACTGACAGAGGACAGCTTCAAGCAACTTAGCATTTATCATAATAAAAAGGGGCCAATTTGATTGTTCAAAACTATGAAAATTCTTTCTCTCTCATACGTTTTACTAAACTTTAATTTTTTTAGTTTTCATCTGTTTTAATTAACTCATTTATTATTGAAAGTTTTCAACGTCATACCAGTTAGATAAATACATATAATTATATGAATGCTTTGAGTATAGCATAGACATTGAGACTGTGTGAAGGGCCAGGGGATGGGGGAGGAGGGCTAACCCCCCCCCCCCACTTATTTTGGAAAGATATATACATCGTATAAGCATTGAAAATGCAACGTACCCTTCTTAGGTTTATTGCTCCCATCCTCCATTTGTTACCGACACCTATGTATTGGAAGGATAAAGATTTGGACTGAGGGATCTTATACCCGTCTTCTCCTCTTTTCGACGGGGGTAAATCAATTCATTTTTGAAGTTAGGGCTAGGCTTAGTTTTTTGAAAGATAAATAACAAATAAAATCTTTCCATGACTAAAATATGATTTTTTTTCAAAGTGCGTTAAGTGTCTCCATGGTAAAATATATTGATGTAGACTCTTAACGCACTTTGAAAAATTTTTTCAAAGTGCGTTGATTTTGTCCAAATTTTAACGCACTTTGAAAAAATTTTTCAAAGTGCGTTGATTTTGTCCAAATTTTAACGCACTTTGAAAATTTTTTTCAAAGTGCGTAATTTTTTCAAAGTGCGTTGCCACACCCCACCAACATTTAAAGTATGCTTTAATCATGGCGAAGTAAATTATGATATTATAGTACTTGTGTGAAGGCTTATTATAACTTCATTTCAATATTTTATCTAGAGCCTCTTTCAGTATGGAGTTTTGTTTATATTTTTGCTTTTCATTTATTTATTATTTTTTTTTTATTTAACGTAATGTTCTTTTTTTTGGGGGGGGGGTATAAAAATTTCCTCCTCTTTCATTGTCAAATAGGATTTGCCAAACTTATACAAGCTAAAAGTTGAAATGAAGGAAAAATTAATTTTCCTATTAAAGAGTATTTAAACCTGATTGTTGCATGGTTTGATTTCTAAAGAAACAAGTGGAATATCGTTCTTTAAGCAAACAATATAAGGAGGAATATTAAAAAGACATTTTATTTAATTGACAATTAAAGAACTCTTTGTAAACACAATTTTAGCATTGAAAGACTACGTGAATCTCTTAATTATTTCATACGAGTTTTTGTATTTTTCTGATTACAGAAAATATAAAAATTAGTTTCACCTGTTATATATTTCGTATCACTTTAAAGGGGGTCATTTTTCAATGGGGGTCAATTTTTTATAGGACTAACATATAAAATAATGACCCCTAGGACTCTTTTTCTACAAAAAATGATTTTTTTCTTATTGTGGGGGGTCATTTTTTGTCGTTGAAAAATGACCCCCGGTCATTATTCGATGGGGGTCATTATTCGTCTTTACACCGGAAAACATATTACTGTAAGCCCATTTTTAGTATTTTAAAAATTGCATAAAATAATTCGGACGCAAGGGACAGTTTACGGTGTGAAAGAATCTTTTTGAGATTTCAGAGCTGTAAAAATGAATTTCGTAACGAGTATTTTTGGTATTCCCGTCCATAAAGTCGTTTATACGCAGACTGAGGTTTTAGGATTTGCAGGATCTGAGATTGAAGGTTTTAAAACAATCTAAAATATTAAAAAAGACCAGTTCGGACACATTTTTCATGGCTGGTTAAAGCGACATAAAAAATGTGTTGAGTTGAGGACGTTGAGAAAGTCAAATGTATATAGCTTTTGACGTTGGGTTTTGTAAAGGATGTTTTTGTTTTAATGTCCTGGGTATGAGTGTTTATCTTTTTTCTATCTTATAAAAATATAACTATTTGTGCTTCGTTTATGATTAAAACTAGCATATTAATAAAATGAAAAATGGGTTTGATAAAAAAAATTGTTTCATATATTTCATCAATTTTGTCAGTAATTATCAATGTTGTCCACGAACAACCCACGTGTAATATTTTTATTAATTCCTACTCCATATGTATACAAAAACTAGATCTGATAATGATGGGGTGCATTATGGATACTTCTTACAAGTTAAATGATAATTGCAGGTGTTTGCTCAACTTTTGTCTACTTGGTAATTCGTTATCTAATCTTCTGTTTCTTAGTAAACTTATTTTGTGAATATATTTCATGGACTAGTATTTCATTTTCAAAGTGAAATACGGTAATTTATAAAATGAATGAATGTGATATTCTGTCACGACATTAAAGAATAGCACATATATATTCTATCACAATGTTAGAGGTTGTAGCATTAAAGAATATTACAGATATATTCTGTGACAGCTGTAAAGAATAGCACAGATATATTCCGTGACAGCGTTAAAGAATAGCACAGATATATTTATATAATAGTGTTGCATTATGCATGTACTATGCCTAAATAGTAGGCAGGGTTTGACACATGGTGCACGAGCCGGAGGCGAGTGCACTATGTGTCAAACCCTGCCTACTATTTAGGCATAGTACATGCATAATGCAACACTATTGTTATTATTATGCTGACTGTTGTAATTATTTATGCGGCAATCTATTTTACTTTTTCCTGAAAATATCGGTGCTTACACAGCGCACTTGCAAGAACTCATTCAAAATCTTCATGCTAAAATTGTTTGCATGCTTAGTTATTTTGGTTACTAGTATTTTCTCTAAAAACGTCGGGATTTTCTGTCCCAAAGCAACTCATCTTTATTTTCTGTTTTGTTAGTAAGCCTTATTTGTTTGCAGACGTCGATTCTCATTGATAATTTTCTTTTACATCCTTCAATCAAGCGTCATATAAAAAGCGTTTTAATGACCCTATGAAATCAGTTCATCTAACGATCTGTATGTAATTAGTTTGAAAGTTTGTTGTACACATTAATCAAAAGTTCCTTAGAATAATATAACTGTTTCCAAATAATATTTGTCTATTTTTCTCCTTTTTGTGTCAATTGCATAAATTAAGTTTATATATTTAATAAATTTCAACCAATCATTGATCGTCTCTGTGGCGTAATCGATAAGGCATCGGACTGACAATCTCATGGTCGTGAGTTCGATCCCCAGCGTGTGCACTGAACAATTTTATTCAGTAAATAAAGCCGTGCACTATTTCGGCATAGTATGCTTACGCTATATAAATCCTTAGACCACTATGCGAGAATAGTAGGGTATGGGTTATATAGAGACAAACTGACAGGAAGCATAATAATCTATAACAATGTTAGAGGAATTTTTTTTGCAAAGAACCAACTTGAATATTTACTTTTCCGATTCGTTAAGGCTGACTTTGTTTTCTCTTTCAGACGTTACGTGTCAGTTCAGTGCTGGCATAAGATTTAATCATTTTGGACCTTTAAGGGTGGGCCAGAATTATCACGGAACTTGTTTCGCAACACTATCACCCAGTGACAACATTACAAACGTGGACGCGTACTGGTCTTTTGGAAATATTAACTATTGTCTCAACGACCAGAAACTGTGGAGCAATAGAAATTATACCTGTGGTGTACGTACGGTACAAAATGACACGTTCTTTGACCTGAGAGTTCCAGGTAAGAAAGAATTAACATTTTCCGTATTAATTTGTCTATTTTAGTTTTGATATGGGTTTATCACAGCAATTTTTTATAAACATACTCTAACAGTTATATTTTTCGTTTTATCTTTACGAAATGAAGGGACTGGTATCGTCAATCTGGATTTTTTTTTTCCTTTCGTTTTCTTTCTCATAGCATGATTTAATTAAACGAAGAAAAACTAAACGGTTGCTGAAAGGTGACAAAATGGTAAAGCTCAACAATTCAGTCACCATTCCGGATCTTTCTAAGTCACCATTCGGTTGACTTTATCCTTCCCCCTCTTACTTTTTTGTCTTGATCTTCCTCTCTCTTTATTTGTTTCTTTCTCTCATTCTCTCTCCCACTCTCTCTCCCAATCTTCTCTCTCTTTCTTTTTCTCTCATTCACTCTCCCTCTTTCTTTTTCTCTCTATCATTCTCTCTCTCTTTCTTTTTCTCTTGCATTCTCTCTCCCTCTCTTCCCTCTCTTTTCCTCTCTCTCTTTCTCTCTCATTCTCTCTCCTCTCTCTTTCTTTCTTTCTTTCTCTCATTTTCTCCCCCTCTGCTCTTTTTTCTCTCTCTTTTTTCTTTCTCATTCTTTCCTTCCCTCTCTTTCTTTCTATCTTTACTCATTCTCTTTCTCTCATTTCTCTCTCTCTTTCTCTCTCTCACACAGATTGAAAACTCAGAATTATGCTCCCATTCTCATGATATCAATGATATACATGTATCATAAATAAAATATGAACCAAACTTTTTGGAAAAAGATTTTAAAAACCTCTAATTGTTAGGACGTTTTCATACAACTAAATGTTTTTTCTTTAATAAGACCTTACACTATCTGACGGAGGCATATACTCGTGTCGTGTAGACCATAATACAAGGGGACTCAAGACAACTTTCACGCAGAATGTTACAGTCTTATGTGAGTTGAAAAAAAACTTTCATAAAATAAAGTCTTCTTATATGTGACTATGTCCCCAGTTTCCAGTTAGTTTTCCATATATATTGGCATGATTATTTACACATAATCTTCACCGATCTTGTACAATTTAGGACAATTTCCAGATATGGATGTCAAGAACGATAACCGATAATTGGTATAGTTACACAAAGTAAACAAGGTGCTCATCCTTCTGACCAATCAGATAGTGGCATTTAGACAAACTTATGAGAGAAAAGATAAACAAGTGGTTTTAAACATTTTTGTTCATATTTTTTTCTTAAAATTTTATTTTCAGCAATATCATCCACATTTTGAATGAACGGTTGCATTTGAGCAGAACACTAAGAAATTTACGAGTATTATGCTTCAAACACTAAGTGTACTATGGATTTGAAAGTAATTTAGTGGCGAAGATGAAATATATAGAATTAATGATATGTAATATATTTTGGTAAATATTAAGTGAAGTATAGCTTTTCTTGATTATTAATCTACATCAACTCAGTTCAATGTTACTCATGACCTTGTATAGAGAGGGTATTTATAGGCAGTTGTCCTCTTGCCAAATCTAGTCAGTGTTCTGAATTAATATTGTTTAAATCACAATCACAAAGTGTAGTTGTTATAATTGTATGCTTCATGCTCGATTATCCAGTAGTAATAATATATCTTTTTGTTGGGATTTCAATTACTGAGTGATATGTTTTGATTTCGTCATTTGTAGATGGTGAAACACCTAAACCAACCACAAGTAAGCATTAAAAATTTTTACTTTGACCTTGTTTCTATATTTAAGGAATGACTCTAATTCTTAGCCAAATTATCGAGTATAATCTGGTTAGGGTCAGTTTACGCTTTATAATCCGCGAAGCGGATTATACTCGATATTTTGGCCAAGAATTAGAGTCATTTTAATTTTAAAATAATTAAACAACTTTGGATAAAATTGTGTTGCTTTTCAATTTTAAAATAATTAAACAACTTTGGATGTAAAATTGTGTTGCTTTTTAATAGTTTTGTATTGATTTAGTGAATATCTGAAAACTCAGTAATCAAATTTACTTATAATGAATTAAAACAAACGCAATAATACAACCGTATTAACGGAAGTGATGTGAAGCGAGGGGAGGTAATAACTGATACATAGATCTAGCAGCCATGATGTGTGTTTACATGTATATCTTTTTGTTGGGAATTCAATTACTGAGTAATATGTTTGGATTTCGTCATTTGTAGATGGTGAAACACCTAAACCAACCACAAGTAAGCACTATAAATTTTTACTTTGACCTTGTTTCTATATTTAAGGAATGACTCTAATTCTTAGCCAATTATCGAGTATAATCTGGTTTGGGTAAGTTTACGCTTTATAATCCGCAAAGCGGATTATGAAAAAGTGTAAAGTGACCCAAACCAGATTATACTCGATAATCTGGCCAAGAATTAGAGTCATAGCTTTTGATTTGATTTTAAAATAATTAAACAATATTGGATGTAAAATTGTGTTGCTTTTTACGAGTTCAAATTTACCGCGCAATAATACAACCGTAGTAACGGAAGTGATGTGAAGCGAGGGGAGGTAATAACTGATACATAGATCTAGCAGCCATGATGTGTGTTTACATGATGTAAGGTCGAGTTAGTGTTTGAAGTTAGAGATACACTTATTAAATCTTGAATTTTCCATGGATTCCGAGGACTGGAAATTTGCATGGATAAGAGATTTTTTAAAAATGTCCCCATACCAAACCAGATTATACAAAATATTTTGCGTTCCTTTTCCGAAATCAACCAATGAGAGGCGAGAATATAAACAAAATTAAATTATAATGATATAATACTGTATAATACAGTAGTTTGCAGGTACATGCAATATGGTTTATAATAGTTTGCAGGTACATGTACATGCAATATGCTTCTTGTATAGTTACATTTAATTTTTAATCGTACAAAAAATCATTTAAATGTTGTATTCAAACTAGAGAATGCTTATTAAGCATTACATATTGTAACCCGTGAGGAGAAGTGGCAACTTTAATAAAGTGTATATTCTTAATTTTAATGGAAAGAGACTGTATAAACTGCGGTTCCGTGTCGCAGCTAGATGCTAGCATGAAAAAGATTCCTTTATGCATAAAGACCGTAAGTGCCGCGTAAACATCCTTCTCCAAAGAAATGGAGTCTCAATTCTTATTAGGCTAATAAAGAAAATCTCAAATGGGCATCGGTTGCTCTCTGGAGTTCTTCTACAAATGATAAATATTACAGGAAAAACGCTCGACTCCTTAATCCGCGACTCTTAGAGCAGACCCTCTAACCACTGCACCACGCGGGCGACTTATGTTGAATGAGTATAATGAAGTATAATAATAATTGCCGTTTCTTTACAGTTGAACCTGGGAGCATTGGAAGTTCGATTGATGGCAATGTTCTGTCAACAGTTCTAACCATTCTTGTAGCTTCCTTGATTCACAGTTGATTAACCAACTTTTATTTGTGTAATCAAGGAAGTAACAAATATTAAATAATTGTAATGTTCTTTTGATCACATTTGCTAATTTTGTTTATGAAATCAACTACTTTTATTCATTATAATCTTGTATGCATTAGAGTATTTTATTATTGTTATTAGATAGATCGTTTTTTAAAGCCCACTTCATTATTTTACTTATGTATGTTTGAGATTATCATAGTTGGATGCCGATGAAAGTCTTAAAATAAGTTGTTTAGACATTTTGTGAAAAATGTTAACTTTTATGATTACAACTTTGTCGTACATTCAGTATCATAAAGTGTCTTGTCCAAAATATTTTATTAAGAGAGTCACATAGTATTGGGAAGCTAAAAGATTAATTATTAGACTGTTTATTGCTTAACGCCGAGTAGGTTATATTTCAGCCATATTTTATCGAAGAATTAATTTGACAGCAATATATTCATTTTTTTCTAAAATAAATTTTTTATGACAGTCATTTTTTTTATTCAAAAATAAGGTAATAGTTAGTTTAAAATTAGTTTATTTGACATGTTTTCGATCGAAAAGAAAGTATTTTCTTGCTTGCTTTATAAAGCTGTTAAATTAATTTTTTTGCCACCTTTTTTCGTGACAAGACAGTTTAAAATCAATCTGCGACTACTTCTTTTTGCTACTGAACGAATATACTCAAAATTAATAAATACTTCAAACTTTGGTTCTCAGCGAGTAACATTTGCAAGCTGAGGCAGTTAAATACAATATTATAAAATCAAACTTAAGTTGGAAACATCTAATATCTTGAAAACCAGTATACTATTCAAACATGTTACAAGTTTTTTTCATTCTATCAGAATAATTAATTAAAATAAAATGTATGAAATTTCTGTTGAAAAAAGTGTATGTTTTTTTTTCTTTACTATATTATCAAAATATTTTTCAAACAATATAAAAAATTAAAATTGTTAGAAAACTCTCTTTTTCTTCCTATAGCGGGTATTTATAAAAAGGGACTACAGTGCTGCTATCCCACAAGTTGACATGGGATGGGATTGGATAGGATTCAGGATTGAGGATTCACGATAGGAACATACAGAAATTAATTTTTTGTATCCTACAGCCAATCAGATTGAAAAGGTTCATTCATATTTCAGAATAATTTACAAAAACGAAATACAGTATAAAATGTTAACAAAAGAACTATTTATAAAATTTAAATAGAAAATAAAACATTCTCTTTACTAAAAACAGATTTACATTATAAACTTCGAGTAATACGGCGTACGATCTAACCGCGAACGAACCACCGGAAGAATTTGAGAATGTAAACAACGAATAGCATTTCGACTGACCGCTAGGGGGAGGAAACGAACGACAACTCAATCATCAGCGGTAGTGGTCTTTTACTGTGTTGAGTGTGTCCGTGCATTTGCAGATACGCACACTTCGTGTTTCGCATGACAGACCTTTATCTGGTATGTGACATTGCCTTTACCAGTAAAAATAATTTTCTATAGGTATTTGGTGAAATTATTCTGTAATAGTTTTACCGTATATGTAATTAGATTAAATGTAAATGTATTTTAAAAATACATGTCTAACATGTACGACACAAGAAAATAATTTTTTTCACATGTTCTTGTGCTTGCTCGAAGTTGCTCGCCGACTAAAAATTAGAAGGAATGTTTACAAAGGTCATGTGAAAATTACACGTTCTATAAATATGAAAATTTTTGTAAATCTTTTTTTTAACCTACTGACGTAGTATTCTGTTGTTAATTTTTTTTCTTCATCGGGATCGGGATCAGAGGCATCGTTGGTATTTTCATGATTTGTATAGAATAAAGTGCTGACAGTTCAGAATTCCTATAAATATAATGAAATTTTTGCAATTTGAAATGCATTCCTTAATCATTTTTATTTTAAAATCATTCAAACCTTATATTCAGTTATATATATTTTGCTTAATTTCAATCGCGCTCGAAATACTTTTCGTAGTTATCTTCCCTTACAGGTCACAGACGTTGTTAGTGTTTGGGTATTTTTGGGCATCAATATAACTTTATTCTGTATAATTTCATAACAAAGAATGTTTATTCCTTTAATCTTCTGCACTTAACTGCTCAGAAATCAAAAATTGAATGTCGAATTCTATATTTTAATTTTTAGGTGGAATTGCTACAACGAAGAGTCCAGACATCGAAAGACCGTATTTCTTCAGTTTGTTTGGATGATTTAACCGATTTTTACTTGTGTAAAAGTGTAATAACATGTTTTCCTGTTAAATTTGCTCTGTTCGATTGGATAATTCCACAGGAACCGTCTACCGCGGACTTGAATAGATGATGTGCGAGAACATGTAAGTACACTACAAACTGTACACTGTACATGTGTGCATTTTCACACATTTCGCCCTTTAGACAATATTCTAATGACTTAAATTATAAACATTTTATTCTATTTTATGTAAACAAAAATATGCAACAAAAAGAGAGAGAAGTAGTGTAGATTCCTTTAGCTAGATAGAAGGGGGGATAAATATTTACATGATTCAATCAGCTATCAATGAGCTCTTAGACTAAAACAATCATATGTATTATGACTTAATCAGTTTGTTACTATTATCATTTCCCTAGTAAGGTAGAGAATAGTTTCTTTCATTTCAGTGCAATTTATGATAAATGAATGTAGAATCATAATGACCATTTCTAATGCTACTGTTTAAATGTTTAATAAGCTCATTCAGCAGTCAGCACTGCACTTACATTGTATGTACATTTGTAATGTATTGTGAGTTATGAAACACAAGTTAATCTTTTAATATTCATTATTACAGAGAATGGATTTGCCTGCACTCATGCGTCATCACAGTATAAAGGATTTTAATATAAAAAGTATGTATGATTTGATTTTTTATCATGTATTTATGCATGATCATTAAAATGCATATATATTATTATCTGAGTTGAGATAACGTGTCAGCAGATTCTCAGAACAAGTGATTTTCTTCTTTTAAAAATCTGGAGAGGAAATTAAACTGAAAACAATGTTGAATTATTCTAGTCATTTTGTTGTCATATAAATTTTGTATTTTCTTTTTCATATTCAAATTTCAAGACAAAAAAAAAAAAAAAACAAAGAAAAATACATTAATTAAAAGATAAATACAAGCAGAAAATAGAGAAAATCTCACAAACTAATGTATTCATATACTTGTTAGCAAGTCAACAAGATAAAATGAATGATAATGTACTTGTTAGTAAATTATGTTAAATAAGATTAAAAAAAATAATATATGACTGAGGTTGCAGTATAAGATTTTATTTTTCATGATTTCTTAATGCACTAGTTTTGGGAGAAAAGAAGGTGAAATTAAAGCCAATTGTACATGAAATGTGAAAGATAATCACAATCAAAAACAGTTAAAATGTGTAATAACACAAAATCTACAATCTACATGCCTATAAATTTTTTTTCCAGGACAACCCTGCTCATTTCAGCTGTACAGATTGCAGTTCATCTCATATGCTGTTAGACTAAATAATGAAAGATGTTCAAACCAGTTTCAAAGAGTCCTAAGTCTGAAATCATGGTGCTTTTATTAAGGAGATCAGTGCTTTATTCTGTGCATTGTTGACATTTGTGGAACTGTTCGGTTTATGACCATCTCTCTGACAATAACTCTGACATTTGAAATTCAGTTTGAGCGACGGATAAGGAAGCCAAATCATATGCATGTAAAACATTATACAACTGTAATAAAAACATTGATAAACTTAAATTTAAACAAAGTGCATGTAAATTTATCTATGATCTTGGCATTGAAATTCATCCTGTACATGGATATTTTTAATGAATTTGTCTCATGGTAATGGAATATTCAATTGTTAAACATTGTTGAGGAATCACCCTGAATAAAAATATTGTGAACTTGATCAAATATTTTTTCCTCATTTAAACACTGAAAAATTTAAGATCAAATGTCAAGGTCAAATACAAGGTTTACTCAAGAAAGTGTGATAATTGATGTAAATACTGTGAATTCTTTTGCATGTTTTATAAGATCTAAGGAACATGTGTGGATCATTTTAATGTCTCTCAATCAGACACTAATGAACATTAAAGATCAAATGCCAAGGTAAAATACAAACTTGGCTTACTCAAGAATGAGTTATAAATACTGTAAATACTGTGAATTCTTAATTTCTTATGCATGTTTTAGATCTAAGGTCTAAGGTCTAAGATCTTAGGAACATGTGTGAGCTCACTACAATATTTATTGCTTTCAATCTGTCTGAGTCTGACAATGAATATTTAGGAAAATATTTTAAATTAAACATAAATTGTTAAATTTCCACACATAAAACAAAATTGGAAATTGAAATACATTTGTTCGGCACTGAACTGACCATAAACTGAGAAGAAAATGAAGTTAAATTAGAAATTTGACATTCTAAATATCTTGAATTTTATTCAGCAACTATATATTTTGCATGTTTATAAAATATTCACATAAGAATTAATTAGTATGAATTTAAATAAAAAAAAATTATACATTTAGTTTCAATAGTTAATATAATAAGACAATTTCACATTTAAAATGTTTAATATGTGAAAGTCACGATATTTAAGATCTAAATTTTGGCTTGTCTGTTTGGTTTATTGTCTAATCATATCTTCTTTTTTTATAACCGCGTACAGAAAAACATGTTATACAGGCACAGTTAGACTTCACATGTACGTGCATGTTATTTTTATGCTGTTCTGTTTAGGAAAAATAAAATTTTACATGAAACATAAACTTAAACATTATTACCGTATAGACCTATGTTTTTTTAAAATAATTAATTATAACACGCTGGGAGCACGTCGCGATCCTGTGGCCATGTCTCCCGATCATTGTAAGTAGGAAAATTGAAACAAATAATATTTTTTTTCGTTAATTCCTTCTTCTATGCCCAAATTCTTTACAGAGGTTCGCAAAATCAGTACTTGCCCACGTTTT